AGAAACAAGATTCTCTGGTCTGAGGAAACCAAGATTGAACTCTTTGGCCTGAATGCCAAGCGTCAGGTCTGGAGGAAACCTGGCACCATCCCTACGTGAAGCATGGTGGTGGCAGCATCTTGCTGTGGGGATGTTTTTCAGCGGCATGGACTGGGAGACTAGGCAGGATCGAGGGAAAGATGAACAGAGCAAAGTACAGAGAGGTCCTTGATGAAAACCTGCTCCAGAGCGCTCAGGACCTCAGATTGGAGCGAAGGTTCACAGGACAACACAATGCAGGAGTGGCTTCAGGACAAGTCTCTGAATGTCCTTGAGTGGCACAGCCAGAGCCCGGACTTGAACCCTATCGAACATCTCTGGAGAGACCTGAAAATAGCTGCGCAGCGACACTCCCCATCCAACCTGACAGAGCTTGACAGGATCTGCAGAGAAGAATGGGAGAAACTCCCCAAATACAGGTGTGCCAACCTTGTAGTCTCATACCCAAGAAGGCTCGAGGCTGTAATCACTGCCAAAGGTGCTTCAACAAAGTACTGAGTAAAGGGTCTGAATACTTATCGAAATTTGAGATTTTTAAATTTTTTTTTAAATAAATTGTCTAAAAAACTGTTTTTGCTTTGTCATTATGGGGTATTGTGTGTAGATTGATGAGGGGGGGACTATTTAATCCATTTTATAAATAAGTCTGTAACAAAATGTGGAAAAAGTCAAGGGGTCTGAATACTTTCTGAATGAACTGTATTTCTTATTTTTCTTCAGTATGAGTTCACCTTGGAGAACTGGGTGATGACTGAGCTCCATGGAGGACGCTACCCCCCCAGGGAGACCCAACCTCCAGCCCCTCTGCTACCCCCCTGTTGTGGGGAGGCCCTGGCCCCCTCCTGCACCCATACTGGCTCATGTTCTCCAGTCCCCAGGAGAGTTGCCTGGGCAGCAGGTGTTCTCATGTTCTTCTTTTTGTTGTCTTATGTAAAAAATAAATGAAAAACATTCATTTTATTTAAATGTTAATCACATGAATGTAGCCTGGTGCCAGATATGTTTGTGCAGTCTTAACAAAGACAGTACAGTATGAAGATTGGCTAAAACTGCAATTGGATATGCCCGATCACACTTGTAGGCGATGTCATGGCGACATTGGCTAGCAAAGCTCATGCGTAGAAACACGTCATCGAGTCTAACGGTCGTCTCGCGCCGAACTGTGCACGTGCAGGCCGTCAAATCAAAGGCACTCCTTCAGTATAAAGTTGTTTTTGACGAAAATGAAATTGTCAGTTTGTCACTTTCACGAGGTTGGAGTGATAACATGTTCAACCACTTAAGACATTGGCTCGAATCTAGGCTGTGCCTTTAGATTTCAAGAAAATTAACAACTAATGAAGTATTTTTCACTTCTCTCACTAGCTAGGTTTCCATTAACTTGTCCTGTGATTTTTTTGTTGTTGTTGTTGTCCACAAATAGAAAGTTCTAGAAAATGGATGCGACAATTGCCAGCTAGGGTGCGTTACCGTTTAACTATCTCGTGGTCCTCTGTAGCTCAATTGGTAGAGCATGGCGCTTGTAACACCAGGGTAGTGGGTTCGATCCCCGGGACCACCCATATGTAAAAATGTATGCACACATGACTGTAAGTTGCTTTGGATAAAAGCATCTGCTAAATGGCTTATTATTATTATTATTATATTATTATTATTATTATATTATTATTATATTATTGTGCCATTTAATAGTTGTAAAATAGATTTAGCAGGCAGTAGGCATTTAGAATGAAATGTGGAGTAGGGCCTCCCGAGTGGAGCAGCGGTCTAAGGCACTGCATCGCAGTGCTAGAGGCGTCACTACAGACCCGGGTTCGATCCCGGGCTGTGTCGCAGGATACATTCCGAGTAAGAATTTCAGATTAATCCCGTGTACCGGGTTGTGCTGCGGCTGACCCCTTAAATAGCTGCCACCACACTACTCCCACCTCATGTCCTATTCGAGGCACCATAAGAGGATTGGAGTGATCCCATAGCTCACATAACTGTGGTTACATACATATCCTTCGTTATGTAGAACTATATTGGATCACTCCAATATGGTATCACAATACCAGATTAAAATCGGTGAACTAGGCATAGCCAGACGAGCAAAATCCCGTAAGACTGAGCTCAGGGCAGTCATAGTCGCTGTGTCCCTCCATCCCCCTCCAGGGAAGTGGTGGCAACACCCAACACAGCCGTTCCCGAACCTGGTTGGCACCAGCAGCATTGACTCGATAGTACCTAGCAAAAGTGCTAGACGACGCCCAACTGGCCATGGCGCAAATGTCATCAAGGGGAACTCCTCGGAGCAGGGCCCACGATGCAGCTACTCCTCTAGTAGAATGTGCCACTACAGCAGATGGCAGAGGCTGGCCATCCAGCTGATATGTTGTAGTAATAGTGTCCACAATCCAATGTGAGAGTGTCTGTTTCGATAGGCTCTTCCCCAGAACTCTCTGACCATAACACACAAACAGCTGATCCGACTGTCGTATTGTCTTAGTCCGTGTAACGTAAGTGTCCAGTGCCCTCACCGGGCACTGCACACTTGGGGAAAAACCTAGCCCACTCGCAGCCGTGGGAGGTGCGTTTGCGGACAAATGTAAGGGCTGGTTCACATGCCTGTTAGACAGGACCTTCGGCAAAAAAGAGGGGTTAGGCCGGAGAGTAACAGTTCCCTTATCTGCACCCATTTGGAAACATTCAGCGCTCACTGAAAGAACATGAAGTTCACTAACCCTCTTAGTAGAGGTAAAAGCCAACAGGAATGCCACCTTCATGGGTAGGTGCTTCAAAGACGCTAACCCCAGGGGCTCCAAGGGTGGCCTAGCAAGTGCTGGCAGCACCACGTCAAGGTCCCAGTTTGGCACCGAACGGGCCTTCGCTGGACACAGACGTCTAACTCCCTTCATAAACTTGGAGAGCAATGGGTGACCACCCATGGGTCCCTCCAGGCACTCGTCATGGCACGCCAAAATTGCAGCCAAATACACTCTCAAAGTAGACGCCGCTCGGGCCCGCATCAAGCAGTGATTTGTAAAAAGTGTAAAACCATTTGTACATCACACGACTCGGGGGGGCAACATTATGACCCCCACACCAAGTACAGAATATGCCCCACTGCATTTGATATGACCACGTTGGTGGAGGAAACCCTGGCATTTTGCATCGTGTTCACCACATTGTCATGAATGCCTAAACTTGCCCATTTACGCCTCTCGGGCCAAGCCCAAAGCTGGAGGCGGCGCGGCTCCGGATACCACAGCGTCCCCCGGAGCCTGAAAGAGCAGGTCGGGTCTCAGCGGCAGCTTCCATATGGTCCCAGACAGGAGGGACAACAGGAGACAGTATGGAGCTATCAGGAGCAGCCGGTGGCCCTTCAAGCTGACTCTGTCTAGTGTCGCTGTGATCAGGGGAAATGGTGGGAATGCATAATGTGTTGTTGCCGGCCAATCGTGAGCGAGGGCGTCCAAACCCAGAGGGCCTGGAAGGTCCAACATCGAGAACCAGCTGGGACAACGAGTGCTCTCCTGAGATGCAAACAGGTCCACCTGCGCTCTCTCTTTCCCACAGCTGTAGCACCACCTGAGGGTGTAGACTCCAGTCCGCCTCCGGCGGGCCATTTCTCAAAAGCATGTCCGCTACCCGGTTCAGGACCCTGGGAATGTGCGCTGCCAGCAGTGACGCTAAGCGGGTCTGAGCCCACAGCAAGCGCTCCCAAGCTCTGATCTCAGTCCCCCCTGGTGATTGATATACGCCACTATCGTGGTGTTGTCTGATCTGACCAGGACATGCTTCCCCTCCAAGTAGGGCAGAAACTGTTGGAGTGCCAGGCGAACTGCCCTGAGCTCCAGCACATTGATTTGCTCGCCACTCCATGGGGGGCTCCAGCGTCCGCTAGCTGCCATGCTTCTGAACACTGCCCCCTAACCCGCTAGCGAGCGTCTGTGCACACTAGCTCCCTGCGGTGGACTCTGTTCAGTGTCACTCCCTTCAACAGGAAGGAGTGAGAGTGCCATTTCAACAGAGTCCTCACACATGCTTTGGTCACCGATAGCTGACGATGTCTGTGTCGTCTCTGGTGTAGATGGTGAGAGTTGAACCCTTGCTGGAGTGGCCTGAGGTGAAGAAGGCCCTGCGGAATCAACAGAGAAGCCGGCGTGAGTAGGCAGAGTAACTTCTGATACTCTAATACGGACACGTCTAGGTAGGCCTGTATCTTCACCAATCTCACCTGAGGGATATGTGCTCTCATAAGAGTTGAGTCGATCAACATCCCCCAGGAAGACCACCACCTGTGAGGGAGTCAGGTTGCTCTTCTCCCTGTTTAGGGTGAGGCCCAGGTCTTGAATGAGCTTCAAGATTATCCTTGTGTCTGCTGTGGCTTGCTCTCTTGATTAATCACACACCAGTCAGTAGTTCAGCACTAGAATGCCCTGGGACATGATAGGCGCTAGGACTGTAACCATGCACTTTGTGAATGTACGCGGCGCCAGTGAGAGGTCGAATGGGCGGACTTTGAATTCGTAAGCCACTCCTTCGAAGGCAAATCGGAGGTACTTCCAGTGATTTCGATTAACAGGAACGTGGAAGTACTCGTCCTTCAGGTCGAGCGTGGTGAACCATTGGCCGCTCGAGATTGCCTGCAACACCCGCGCTGGCGAAAGCCTCTTGAACTTGAGCTCTTTTAAACATTTTTTAGGCCGCGCAGGTCCAGGATCAGCCGAAAGCTGTCATCCTTTTTCTAGCGGTTCTACCTTCCTGATTTGTGTCCTTGCTCAGCCGGAGCGCCTCCTTCCTCACGGCATCTGCCCCTGTAGGGTGGCGGTTGGCATCGGAACTGGAGTTTGTATCCCCCCCAGGACTGTGTCCAGTACCCTTTGGGCCTGGGAGAGACGGCCGAGGCTGACCGCCATCACCTCAGGAGGACTGCCGGGGCCCATCCTTCTTAGCCGCCGCTTGTAAGGGTGGTCATGATGCCTGTCCTTGTGATGTCGGGGTGTAAAACGCCGGTTCCCATTTCCCTGCCCATGCTGTCTCTGCAGGGGGAGGAGAGGGGCCAAGATGTTGCTGGAGCACCCTTGCGACATCCTGCCCTGTCTTCCAGCTCCTCCGAGGGGTGGGGGTAGGGCACGCAGTTGCCAATAACTCCTGCAAAGTCTCTATGTCTTTGCGCAGTTTTGTAGTCTGCTGTATGATGTTGTCAACCCCTGGCCCAAAGGTGGAACCTGGCATGAGGGAGCACCAATAATGTTGTCTGAACTGGCGGTGGCAGTTTAGACCGTGCCAGCCAAAGATGGCAGCGTGAAGTGACTACTGAAGCCAAAGCCTTGCCGATGGCATGTGCCATATCCGTCTGGAGCATAGTGAGCAGCGTTGACACCTCTGTGGCCTCCTTAAGAAGCTTGTCACCATCCCCTGGGAGGCGAGGTATCAGCAGGGCGAGGTAGGATTGCAGCATCGTAGCCGTGTTTATGAGGCGTGCCATTATGGAGAGGGTCCCGGAGATGCTTTGCTGGCATTCGTCAATTACTCTTTCAGGTCCTGGTTTGAGGCGAGGCACCTTGCCAATAATCTCCTTGTCAGGGAGGATCATGGCAGCCACCATGTCATCCATCACCGGATAGTGGTCCAGCTCCAAGGACTCTGCATCCCTTAGGAGAGTCCATGGCCTGGTTTGGTTGTCACAACCGAAGCTCCCTCCAGTATTCGCGGAGAGCCAAAGCGCTACCCGGTACACGGGACTAATCTGAAATTCTTATTCAGAATGTATCCTGCCGAGTGGAAGGATACCATATTGGAGTGATCCAATATAGTGCTACGTAACTCTGTGGTCGTAATTGTATTGCTTTACTGTAAAGTGTGTTTTAAATGAGCTTTAAATAGTTTGATTTGATTTAAGGTGGAACAGCGATCTGCGGGGCCCTGCCCCCCGACCAAGGAGCCACAGCCTAAGCTCCGTGGACACACGTCACCTTAACCACCACCCCCAACTCCACCAGCACAGCCACCGCAAAATCCAGTTCATGGTCTCCGACTCGGAAGACGAAGCTGGCTACTCAGAAGATGACGAGGGCTCCTCCACTGAAGATAATGCCTCAGGCTCAAAGTCACTCCGTGGAGGCTCTCATGATGGTGAACGGCCACGGTCGCGAATCTCTGCACCAAAACGCCCACTATCCAGAGTCAAAGACCACCATCTTGGCTCCTCCTCAGGTCATCACCACTCTAACCCGCCTTCGCCTCGAGGTCGAGGCTACCAGGGTCGCAACAGGAGGGCCACCGCTTCATCCGTCTTGGACTGCAGGTGGCAAAGGTCGTTCACTGGGCTCAAGCAGGAGCAGGGGTGTGCCAAAAGCTCCCAGTACCATGGCGGCCAGAGGCACTGTAGGAAGGATCGCAACAGTCAGCAGCAGGCGTCATCGTCCTCTGGCCTGGAAGAGTCCTCTGGGCGGGCCAGTAGCCCTCAGTGTCACGGCCATGCCAGTAGCCCTCAGTGTCATGGTTGGGATGGAAGTCCCAAGTGTCATGGTGGTCAGAGGCACTACAGCAGGAAGAGGCACCATTCTTTGTGCTCAATGATAAGGAAGCACTCGTACACCCTCACCCCACATCAGCTGCCACCACGGCCCTCCTCAGTTAGACCTGTAGTCAACAACCACAGGCAGACGGTAAGCAACACTGTTGTTAGTAGGGGTTAGGATCAACCCATTTTCAATTCAGTCATTTCAGGAAGTAAAACTGAAACCCAACCCTGGCTACTTAACCTTACTCTAGCCTGTCACTATTCTTCCTTTAGGCTCTGTGTCCCCGGAGCTCCCACGGCCTGGGCTGGGACTCGTCTGCAGAGCTGCTGACGGCCCTGAGTCAGGAGGAGAGAGAGCTGCTGGAGCCTATCACTGAGCAGGGATACCCTCTACGTACTGCTATCCTGGCCCTGCAGAAGACTGGCCCACAGCAGGTAGAGATCCTGGGACAGGACTAGTTCAACGCCCACCAAGCTGTTATGTAGGTGGCTGAGAGCCGACTGGTCTCATAGAGTATACGTAACGTAGCAGCAAACTTAAATCCAGGACACTCAAATTAGTATGATATGTTACGTTTGGTATGGTTACGTAAGATGGAAGGTTACTTAAAACAAAAGGAGGGTGGTTGTCCGGGATGGATGGGTAGGTAGGTGTATAATGCGAACGTCTAGCAACCCAAAGGTTGCGTGTTCGAATCTCATCACGGACAACATTAGCATTTCAGCTAATTTGTAACTTTTTAGCTACTTTGCAACTACTTAGCATGTTACCTAACCCTTCCCCTAACCTTAACCCTTTTAGATAACCCTAACCCTTTTAGCTAACCCTTCTCTAACACTAACCCTTTAACCTCACTCCTAACCCTAACCTTAACCCCTAGAGCTAGCTAACGTTAGCCACAACAATTTGGAATTTGTAACATATCATACATTTTGCAAATTCGTAACATATCATAACAATTGTAATTCGTAAACATATCATACGGAATGGATGATGGATTCATACATACCATTCGAAACGTAACATACGCTATATGTGCAAAAGTATGTGGACACCCCTTCAAATTAGTGGATTAGGCTATTTCAGCCACATCCGTAGCTGACCGGGCACACAGCCATGCAATCGCCATAGACAAACATTGGCAGTAGAATGGCCTTACTGAAGAGCGAAATGCTCTGAGACCACATCGCTGAGAGACATGGGTCATGTTCGTTAGGGTACACCGAAGCCCAAAAAATGTTTTACAACAGAAAACAAGCATTTCTTATTGGGCATGAGTACCTCCCTGTTTCACTCGGTTTCATGCCCACAGAACACAACCAATGTTTTTTGGCAGCCATGTTATGGAGTACTAGTTAGTTCACCTCTATGGTTCTTCTGTCCACAGATCCTGAGTTACCTGGTGGCCAGTGACCGTCTGTGTGAGCTGGGCTACGAAGAGGCTCAGGTGGAGGAGGCCGTGGAGATAATAATAATGTAATAATATGCCATTTAGCAGACGCTTTTATTCAAAGCGACTTACAGTCATGCGTGCATACATTTTTTTTTTTTGTGTATGGGTGGTCCCGGGGATCGAACCCACTACCTTGGCGTTACAAGCGCCGTGCTCTACCAGCTGAGCTACAGAGGATGTTCCAGAACTGTGAGAGCAAGGTGAGATTCTCAATATACACATTCTAAATTATTTTATATTTTCAGATCCTATTGGTGCGTTCTAGCATGTATTTGCATATTTCCGTTAGGGAACGCCTACTCTACTCTGTGAAGTGCGCGTGTGCAATAACTCAATTCGCCCTTGCACTCCTTCTAAACAAAACACATTTTAGAAAACTTGGCAAAGGGTAAAGTCTACAAAACTTAGTCCACTCTGATCTTAGCAGATAGTTGTTTTGGAAACAGAAAACGTATTGAGATAAAATGTTTAATCGTTGAGAAAATTAGCAGAATGTCGGACAAAAATCCGTCTACCTCCATCTTCTCCCTGCCGGCCACTGGGCTTCCTCTCATCACCATATTTGTTGTAAGAGGAAACGGCAACCGGAATTCTTCCTGTGAAAGCCAGGTTTCCTTGACACGGATTAATGGCGAATTTAGCTTTCTTACAACCAAATCGCTATTTTTGATGTAAATGATAAAGATCCAGACACTTCTTTTGCGATTTCACTTGTTTTTGAGAAACTTACTCCAACCAGCGAGTCACTTCCTCATCCTCATTGTGCAGCAGGGGCAGGGCTGGATTAAGAAATCATAGGCCCCAGGGCTTAAAAAAATATATACAGTACCAGTCAAAGGTTTGGACACACCTACTCATTCAAGGGTTGTTCTTTAATTTTTTTTACTATTTTCTACATTGTAGAATAATAGTGAAGACATCAAAACTACGAAATAACACACATGGAATCATGTAGTAACCAAAAAAAGTGTTAAACAAATCTAAATATATTTTAGATTCTTCAAAGTAGCAACCCTTTGCCTTGATGACAGCTTTGCACACTCTTGGCATTCTCTCAACCAGCTTCACCTGGAATGCTTTTCCAACAGTCTTGAAGGAGTTCCCTCATATGCTGAGCACTTGTTGGCTGCTTTTCCTTCAATCTGCCGTCCGAGGGGGGGGGTAGAAGGATTACTTTATCCTATCCCAGGTATTCCTTAAAGAGGTGGGGTTTCAAATGTCTCCGGAAGGTGGTGAGTGACTCAGCTGTCCTGGCGTCGTGAGGGAGCTTGTTCCACCATTGGGGTGCCAGAGCAGCGAACAGTTTTGACTGGGCTGAGCGGGAACTATGCTTCCGCAGAGGTAGGGGAGCCAGCAGGCCAGAGGTGGATGAACGCAATGCCCTCGTTTGGGTGTAGGGACTGATCAGAGCCTGAAGGTACGGAGGTGCCGTTCCCCTCACAGCTCCGTAGGCAAGCACAATGGTCTTGAAGCAGATGCGAGCTTAAACTGGAAGCCAGTGTAGTGTGCGGAGGAGCGGGGTGACGTGAGAGAACTTGGGAAGGTTGAACACCAGACGGGCTGCAGCATTCTGGATGAGTTGTAGGGGTTTAATGGCACAGGCAGGGAGCCCAGCCAACAGCGAGTTGCAGTAATCCAGACGGGAGATGACAAGTTCCTGGATTAGGACCTGTGCCGCTTCCTGTGTAAGGCAGGGTCGTACTCTCCGAATGTTATAGAGCATGAACCTACAGGATTGGGTCACCGCCTTGATGTTAGCGGAGAACGACAGGGTGTTGTTCAGGGTCACGCCAAGGCTCTTCGCACTCTGGGAGGAGGACACAACGGAGTTGTCAACCGTGATGGCGAGATCATGGAACAGGCAGTCCTTCCCCGGGAGGAAGAGCAGCTCCGTCTTGCCAAGGTTCACCTTGAGGTGGTGATCCGTCATCCATACTGATATGTCTGCCAGACATGCAGAGATGCGATTCGCCACCTGGTTATCAGAAGGGGGAAAGGAGAAGATTAGTTGTGTATCGTCTGCGTAGCAATGATAGGAGAGGCCATGTGAGGATATGACAGAGCCAAGTGACTTGGTGTATAGCGAGAATAGGAGAGGGCCTAGAACTGAGCCCTGGGGGACACCAGTGGTGAGAGCACGTGGTGCGGAGACAGCTTCTCGCCACGCCACTTGGTAGGAGTGACCGGTCAGGTAGGACGCAATCCAAGAGTGAGCCGTGCCGGAGATGCCCAGCTCGGAGAGGGTGGAGAGGAGGATCTGATGGTTCACAGTATCAAAGGCAGCAGACAGGTCTAGAAGGACAAGAGCAGAGGAGAGAGAGTTAGCTTTAGCAGTGCGGAGAGCCTCCGTGACACAGAGAAGAGCAGTCTCAGTTGAATGACCAGTCTTGAAACCTGACTGGTTTGGATCAAGAAGGTCATTCTGAGAGAGATAGCAAGAGAGTTGGCTAAAGACGGCACGCTCAATAGTTTTGGAGAGAAAAGAAAGAAGGGATACTGGTCTGTAGTTGTTGACATCAGAGGGGTCGAGTGTTGGTTTTTTGAGAAGGGGTGCAACTCTCGCTCTCTTGAAGACGGAAGGGACATAGCCTGCGGTCAAGGATGAGTTGATCAGCGAGGTGAGGTAAGGGAGAAGGTCACCGGAGATGGTCTGGAGAAGAGAGGAGGGGATAGGGTCAAGCGGGCAGGTTGTTGGGCGGCCTGCCGTCACAAGTCGCAAGATTTTATCTGGAGAGAGAGGGGAGAAAGAAGTCAAAGCATTGGGTAGGGCAGTGTGAGCAGGACCAGCAGTGTCTTAACAACAATTTGACTTAACAAACGAGGATTGGATGTCGTCAACCTTCTTTTCAAAATGGTTGACGAAGTCATCCACAGAGAGGGAGGGGGGGGGGGGGGGGGGGGGGAGGAGGATTCAGCAGGGAGGAGAATGTGGCAAAGAGCTTCCTAGGGTTAGAGGCAGATGCTTGGAATTTAGAGTGGTAGAAAGTGGCCTTAGCAGCAGAAACAGATGAAGAAAATGTAGAGAGGAGGGAGTGAAAAGATGACAGGTCCGCAGGGAGTCTAGTTTTCTTCCATTTCCGCTCAGCTGCCCGGAGCTCTGTTCTGTGAGCTCGCAATGAGTCATCAAGCCACGGAGCTGGAGGGGAGGACCGAGCCGGCCGGGAGGATAGGGGACATAGAGAGTCAAAGGATGCAGAAAGGGAGGAGAGGAGGGTTGAGGAGGCAGAATCAGGAGATTGGAGGGAGAAGGATTGAGCAGAGGGAAGAGATGATAGGATGGAAGAGGAGAGAGTAGTGGGAGAGAGAGAGCGAAGGTTGCGACGGCGCATTACCATCTGTGTAGGGGCAGAGTGAGTAGTGTTGGAGGAGAGCGAGAGAGAAAAGGATACAAAGTAGTGGTCGGAGACATGGAGGGGAGTTGCAGTGAGATTAGTAGAACAACAGCATCCAGTAAAGATGAGGTCAAGCGTATTGCCTGCCTTGTGAGTAGGGGGGGACGGTGAGAGGGTGAGGTCAAAAGAGGAGAGGAGTGGAAAGAAGGAGGCAGAGAGAAATGAGTCAAATGTAGACGTAGGGAGGTTGAAATCCCCCAGAACTGTGAGGGGTGAGCCATCCTCAGGAAAGGAACTTATCAAGGCGTCAAGCTCATTGATGAACTCTCCAAGGGAACCTGGAGGGCGATAGATGACAAGGATATTAAGCTTAAATGGGCTAGTGACTGTGACAGCATGGAATTCAAATGAGGAGATAGACAGATGGGTCAGGGGAAAAAATTGAGAATGTCCACTTGGGAGCGATGAGGATTCCTGTGTCACCACCCCGCTGACCAGATGCTCTCGGGGTATGCGAGAACACATGGTCAGACGAGGAGAGAGCAGCAGGAGTAGCAGTGTTTTCAGTGGTAATCCATGTTTCCGTCAGCGCCAAGAAGTCGAGGGACTGGAGGGTAGCATAGGCTGAGATGAACTCTGCCTTGTTGGCAGCAGAACGGCAGTTCCAGAGGCT